ATTAAAAACTGAAAGTGGAACAAAAGCTTTTTAACAATCATGAAAGAATTATTAAGTACTAGGTTTATGCATGGCAATATTTTTCTACAAATTTAAAAAATTAAGTATCTTCTTTGAACTAGCTTACATTTAAAAATGAAAAGTCAAATAGGTCACCAGGTCCATTAAAGAAGACATTCAATGTATCTTGATATTTCTTCATTCAACCTAGTCACTTACATCTCTTAGCTAGACCTTGTGCAGGCAACAGAGGATTCAGAGATGAATAAAACACGGCCTCTAACCATGAGGAGTTTACAGTTTAACATGTTTAAAAGTCACTGCTAAATTATGACTGTAAAAACCTGAATAGCAAATTTGTAAATTGGGATTTTGCTATTCTTTAGAACTGACATTATCTTCCTTTACTAAATTAGTCAGGGACTTATTTAGTCAGTGTCAGTGTAACTGTAGGCTTAATAAAGGAAGGTACAGGTCTTATTTGAAGCTGTAAGGCAATGTAATCACTTAGTCCAGTGATTAGAATGGAGAGATACCTGATACGTTTGGTGAAGCAAATTAAGGGCATAACATACGTTGACATTTCTTACTATGATATCATTTTTGCTTGTTTACTTTGGAATATACACATACAGACTACTGCACAAAATACTATTGCGTTGCTCAGTGAGCTATGGTAAAGTAAGCACCTGTATAACCACTATGGAGGTTAATATAAAGATCATTGCCCGCTTTTAACTCCTACTGCTACCCCTCTTCCAAAAATCGCACTGATTTCTTGTGCTATCCACATGGCCCAAGAGGCTGCCAAAAGCATTCCTCAGTTTGTCATCACCTCTCGTGGGATTAGGAGACACTGAGTGGGACTTTCCAGGCACACTTCCCTGTGTGTCTTTCTTCTCACTCTCGGTCCTTGAAATTAGGTCTGCCATAATGGATCACATTATTGTTATTATCACATTTTATTATCATGTTATCACATATTATCATTATACTATATACTATATCATATATTATCACATATTATTATCATATTATCACATCATATTATTATTATCACATTATTATTATCATCATTATTATTGGAAGATCATAATATTTTAAGCCAAGGCACAGAGGTCATATTGAAAAAAAATACTAACTTTAAACAATTGTAAGTATAAATCTTCTTGCTACTGCAGGAGATGCAAGTGACATGGGTTTGATCCCTGGTCGGGAGGGTCTCCTGGAGTAGGAAATGGCAACCCACTCCAGTATTCTTGCCTGGAAAATTCCATGGATAGAGGAGCCTGGCAGGCTAATCCATGGGTCATAGAGTCAGACACAACTGAGCAACTGAACATGTGCTATTTACCGTTATATGGTCTTCAGTTTTGAACTTTATAGTTAAATACACAGATATTGTTCAGTTCAGTCACTCAGTTGTGTCCAACTCTTTGCGACCCCATGGACTGCAACATGCCAGGTTCCCTGTCCATCGCCAACTCCCAGAGCTATTCAAACTCAAGTTCATCGAGTAGGTGATGCCATCCAACCATCTCATCCTCTGTTGTCCCCTTCTCCTCCTGCCTTCAAACTTTCCCAGCATCAGGGTCTTTTCCAATGAGTCAGTTCTTTGCACCAGGTGGCCAAAGTATTGGAGTTTCAGTTTCAACATCAGTCCTTTCAATGAATATTCAGGACTGTTTCCTTTAGGATGTACTGGTTGGATCTCCTTGCAGTCCAAGGGACTCTCAAGAGTCTTCTCCAGCACCACAGTTCAAAAGCATCAATTCTTTGGCACTCAGCTTTCTTTATAGTCCAACTCTCACATCCATACATGACTAGTGGAAAAACCATAGCTTTGACTAGATGGAGCTTTTTTTTTTTTACATTGTATTATTTGTTGTTTTTTTTTTTTTGATACTTCAGTTTTATTTTATGCTACAAGAAATACTGAAACACCCTCCTCCTCCAGCCAGAGGAAAACAACAGGGCCAAGAGTACCCAAAGGCCAATACAGGCAAACAGTTAGGCCCCCTTAATAAATCAGCAACCAGGGTAGGAGTCAGTGCCCTGGGGAAGGATGCACTGCCTAGGTTAATCTTAGGTGCTCTTTCTTGGCCTAGGCTTAGGGATAACCAGCGACACAAAGTACCCTGTAATTGGTTGGTTGATCTCAACCAACAGGAAAAGCTGCCTGAGACAGGAGATGATAGAAATTTGGAGGTGGCTACCTTTTTTAGCAGCCAGCTGGCTAAAAGGGAGGGAAAAAGAAAATCAAATTAAATGTGGGAACTGTTCCTCTAATTCTCTCTGCCCCCTCAACTGGTGACAGGCTCAGTGCACATATCTACATCCTTAGACTTCGCCTTTCAGGGGTCTCCAATTGACTATTAGAATGACCCCAGACACCTGCCACCCACCCAGGCCCCTTTGCAAGCTAACATTGCCAGGATATTGCCATTCACTGTGAGCTCCTTCCTTACTGCCCTGTGGTAGGGCTGGGCGTGTGGGCTCAGGAACTAGCAGGCCATCTCTGCCTCCATGGGTAACAGGAAGAGCACTATGTTGGAGAAACTGAGAAGGTGGCTTCTTGGCCTTCCGGCCATGGGTGGCACATGCCCACCAAGTCCCAATGCAGAATGTCCACCAGGCCATGGACCAACATGTCCTCCTGGCCCCAGGGTGGTGTACCACCAGGCCCTGGCACCATATGTCCACCTGGTCATGGGACAGTGTGGCCACCCGGCCCTGGCATGGCTTGTCCACCTGGCCAAAGCATGGCCTGTCCATCCAGGCCCGATAAGGTGTCTTCGCCAGGTCCTGGAGTGTGAAGGTACCTGCTCTGGGGCTCCAGCTGAGGCTGCACCTGCTTCTCCCATGCCTGTGAGGCCCTGGTGCCTTTCAGGGCCATTTGGGTCACCAGGTTCATCCGTGCCTCCCTGGCCTTCAGCACCTCTTGCCACGCCACCTCTGTTGGCACCTGGCTCTGTGGCCTCCAGAACCACTCATGCTGCAGTTCAGCTCAAGGCCAGCTGGACTGCATGAGGGGCTGAGGCACCCAAAGGAAACATGTCCCTGGGCAGATGACGTTACTATGGGGGCCAAGAACACCTATTCAATCAGGCTCTGACAGCAGTCTCTGGATGGTCCTCCTAGGTGGTTATGAGCACATGACTGTTTCCCACCAAAAGTGGAAACACCAAGTGAGCCCCTTCACCTTACATCTCTGCTGCCATGTTCACAGGTGACCAGCCTACTGACTTCAACTTCTGGAAGGGAGTCAAGCACCAGGGCTAGGCCCAGTCTGTCCCATTCATCTCCCACATGTAGGTCAAGTCTGTGTCTTTGTCTGTGCATGTGGGCATGTGCAGGTGCGTGCACGTGGGAGTGCACTGGGACCCATCCCTGGAGTCCTGAGACCAGGGATGCCAGAGTGGGCTGTTCCTGTCCACCTGGAGAGGGAAGCGGGGACTCCTGCTGGGCCCACTGGGGAAGGCACGGTGCAGGGCCGCCTGGGGTCCGGGCACAGAGACTGCAGGAACTCCAGGCTGTGGGCGGCTGGGCCCCTCAGAAGCACCAGAGGAACCAGCTGGACTCAAGGGCAGCGGAAGGGCCACGTTGCCCTGGACACCCGCAGGGGCTTGCCCTCTGCTGGCACAGCTCTCAGGCCTTTCCCTCCCCAGGAACAAGGTCTTAAGGCTGTCCGGAGCGCTGGAGGTACCGGGGGACCTCAAATGCGAGGTGATCCTGTGTCTGCTGGCCTGCTGGGTGCTGGTCTACTTCTGTGTCTGGAAGGGGTTCAAGTCAACAGGCAAGGTACAGCCAGGCGAGACCCCGGGGCTGGGGCAGCACTGCCTGGGCACTGGCTTCATCTGTCAGGGAACCACTGGTGCCACGGGAGGTGACTGCGTCAGGGATTGTACTTCAGTCTGGCCCCTGAGCCCTACCCCCTGGCAGGAGAGTCCTCTCGGCCCTCCAAGTCCAAGGCCAGCAGCCGTCCCCATCCCCACTGGAGGGGAAGAGGCACCAGCTATGGCTGACCGTTTCCTGTGTGTGGGGCATCCCTGTCCCACCTTCCCACCCTCCAAGTTTCTGTTGATTCTGGCCCCCAGTCAGTTTTAGGGTGTGCGAAGACCTGCCCTACTGCCTGTGTCTGTTCGCTGCTCTGTGGCCAAGAGGACCCCAGTGGGGTGCCTGGACATGTCAATGTATGGCAAAACCAACACAATACTGCAAAGTAATCAGCCTCCAACCAAAATAAATAAACTTATATTAAAAATGAAAAGATAATTTAAAAAAGAAGTAAACACTTAGGTCAGTATTTCTAACTCTTGGAATACATTAACACTTTTAAGAAATAACCATTAATGGAAAGATTTATAAATTCCACTAAATCATTAACCATAGTAATGAAAAAAGTGGAATCAACTTAAATGTTCCATAATTACATTCTTTTTTTTTTTCCATTTATTTTTATTTGTTGGAGGCTAATTACTTTACAAGTAATTTAAAGACCCAATCTTAATTTTTTGGCCATGCCACATAACATGTGGGATCTTAGGTCTGCTGCCAGGGATTGAACCTGCAGCCCTTACACTGGAAGTGCAGAGTCTTATCCACTGGACTGCCTAGAAGTCCCAATAATTACATTATGATGCATCTTCTATCTATTCAATAACACATTTCTGAGAAGATTTTAGAAAGTGCCAAAGCTAGTGCACTAAATAAAAAAATTTAGGAAAATTTTTTTTTTTTAGGAAAAAATTTAAGCTAAACTTTATAACTTCTACATCACATGCTGTTATACATTTAATGTGCAAGTACAACCAGAAAATATTCTTAAATGTTGACAGTATTTAATGCTGAACATAGGGCTCGATTTTCATTTTCCAAAATGGTTTTCAATTCCCTTGTAATTGAATTCAAATACCTGAATTTGAGAACCTTCCCTCTAACACGAGAACAAAGATAAAACGTGTTTTTAAAATCCAGAAGGGCATTAGCTGAAAAGAAACTGGGGCGCAAAAAGTGACTTAGCTTTATTTTCTGCTGTAATAAACACTGAAGCATCCCACTCCTCAAGCAGCAGGGAAACAAAGCAAGTGAACCAAGAGAGGCCAAAGGCCAGTACAGGCAAAAACTTACACTCAAATAACAAAGTGGCAATGACTCTTAGGTTGAATCCCCTATGCCCACTGAGTAGGGGACACAAGGTTAGGCCTCAGCCCCTCTCCTCAGCTTAGGCTTTGGCGACGTGGGAGCCCAAGTCTCCGAATGTTCCGAATCACCAGGGAAAGCTGATCGAGGAATGCGTTCATGGAAAGTTGGATGGAAGCAAGGTCTTCAGCAGTCCATCTACTAAAAGCAGGGAAAAGAAAATCAGGTGAAAGGGGAGATTGCTCCTGTAGGTCCAGCCCCCCTCCTTAGACCAAGCCCCTCAGTGTCTCCATCACAGCATGCTTAAGAGGGAGCTCAGACCACAGCACCTGCCACCCCAAACTCCCCAAGGCAAACTCGTCTGGAACTGACACAAGCAGGTCACTGCCATTCACTGCAAATTCCTTCCGAATCAATCCTTGGTGGTGTTGGGCATCGGGGAGCAGAGATCTGCGAGCCATGTCTGCCTCCAGGGGCGACTGGAAAAGCACTCTGAGTGTGCTGGGAGAGACACAGTTAAGGCACCATCCATTACTGAATTTTCTGGTATCTCGGGCTTCCTCACACCTAAGAGGCCCGTTTTTACCCCAGGATGCCCATGCTCCCGACCACAACCTGTGACCACCCTGAGCTGCC